AGGGCTTGGAAGAGGCCAGAACCATGGCCAGAGAGATGCGGACCACGTCCACGTGGCCATTCCATGCCGAAGCTACACCAAGGCCAGACAGTCCGATCAACACGGGCACGTGGCGACAGTGCGCACCGAAGCGCAACCAGAAGGCTGGGGATCCGGTGGCAGAGGAAGGGAGCAAGCATTTGGCAGCGGTCGAGATCATCCTCATGGAGGCAGTGAAGGGAGGCGCCACAGTCTCCGTGGAGAACCCGTGGGATTCGTTCTTGTGGGAGACCGCGAAGATGAAGAAGTTGGAAAAGCGCTTGGGCCTTACGGCGGTCTACCTCGACCAGTGCGCCTATGGTGGCATGTCAAAGAAGCCCACCAAGATCCTCACCAATGCCCCATGGATGCAAACAGTCAATCTCACCTGTGGCCAAGTGCGACAACACAAGCACAGCAAACTGGAAGGCAAGGTCTGGGACCCTGTCACCAAAGGAATGGTCTGGAAGACCTCAAGAGCAGCGGAGTACCCATCCGGTCTCTGCCATGCATGGGCCAACGCCCTGAAGACATACCTTCAAGAAGGTCACGGCCAGCAGCTGCTTCAGAAGAAGACCTTCGAGAAGGTGGGGTTGCATCAGAATGTGCTGGTCAGAGCGGATTTGAAGAGATCCACAGTGCCAAGCCCGCTCACAGCAGAACCCTCCGGACAACCAGACGACAAGGCCGTCAAGCTCCTCACCGCGAAGGAGCGAAGAGAGGCCGAGAATGAAAGAGCCATCGGAGGACTAAGGAACCCCAGAGCTTCAGTGGCGAGGAATTCACACCTTCGCACCACAGGGCTCAAACTGAGAAGAGTCCTGGATGCTGCTGTGACTCCAGAGGCGCTACATGACTTTCAAAGCTGCCCCACGGAGTCGCCTTTTTCACCCGAAGCCATGGCGCAGGTCAGAGAAGCCCTGGCCACAGAGTTTTCAACAACAGCCACGCACAGCGGCTATGAAAAGAAGATTCTGCAAGCACTTTTAGAGCAGTCGCATGACCCAGATGCTTTCGTGATCCCTAAATGGTTGAATGAAAGTTTCCCTTTGGGCATCATCCACCCAATCCCACACACAGGCATCTTCCCTCAGACTGAAGACGTGTCCGCCGAATGTCGGCTTTGTGCGGGAGAGTGGTGAAGGATTGGGACGGGACTGCACTTAACTACGAGTCATTTTATGAGGCCGGTGAAAAGGCCCAATTCGAGCTCGATCGAATGATCAACGAGGGTTGGCAGAATGCATGAGCACCTGGCCTCAGGTAGTTCAACAATTCGGTCCAGAGGCGCGGCTGACACCGATAGCATGCATCATCAAGCAATCACACGGCAAAGAAAAAGTCCGGTTGGTAGTTGACATGCGGAGAAGCTCCGTAAACGGGCTTATGACCGTAAAAGAGAGGGTCATCTTGCCACGTGTGAGTGATGTTGCTAGAAGTGTTCAAGCCCTAGCCTGTGAGGACTCCTATTTGTTAGAGCTACTTTGCATTGATTTTAAGGATGCCTTTTACAGGATGCCTTTTACACGATGCCTGCACACCCAGAGGAACGCGGCTATTTAATTGTCAAGGACATGCACGGAAGATACGTGTGCGTCAAGGTCTGCGCGTTCGGGCTCGCTAGTGCACCTCTTTTTTGGTGCAGGCTGGCAGCCAGCATAATGAGATTGGCACAGGCAACCCACCACGATTGGGAGGATAGCCTGTTACGTAGATGATCCCATCATTGTAGCATGTGGACGTACTCCCTTGGATCGTACCGTAATCATGCTACGTAGCATCCTCAAGATCCTGAGGGGGTTTGAACTGGAGTGGATCGGCGTCAAGCTCGCCATACCGCACGGGCTCCCTCGTTCGTTTGAGGTTGAGCTTGCGGCAGACAAGGTCGACAAGCTCAAGGAGGCTCTCCGAGGGTTGTTAGATCAGCCCATGGTTCCCGTGAAGATCCTTCAAAGGACCACCGGAGTTTTGGGTTGGTTATCAAGTATCATCCCCGAAGTGAGGCCATGGCTCGCAATGCTTTGGGCAGTGTTGACACAAGCACTTCATCAAGAGGGGCCCAAGAGAGAGCGCACTCGTGAGCGCAAAGGACTAGTTTTTCGACGTCAGTTGGAGCATGCTGCACGATTTTTGTTGGCTCTTCTCTGCAACCTGAACGGCCCAACTCTCAGGCACACATACCGATTGCAGCCGCAGGAGGTTCGATGGTTCAAAATTGAGACAGACGCCTGTCCGACAGGAATGGGTGCGGTGCTCTACTTCGTGGGTAAACCCTTGATGTTTTGGGCCGACACTATTTCGGACGCAGACCTAGGGTTGCTGAAAGCCGAACGCATCCCGGATTACCAGACAGAGTTTGAGATGTACACGATTTTCCTCAGTCTGAAGGTTTTCTTGCCTTTGGTGCTACAGCCCTTCGCTATCTTTTTGAGAACTGATAACAGTGCCTCGCTTCACGCATGTCTTACTTACAAAGCCAAGTCTCCCCTTCTCACACATCTCACTGCTGAGTTCATGCTAGAGTTCCTATGCAACGGGTGGATCCCACCTCGTGGCGAACACGTGGCTGGAGTGCTTAATGACACAGCTGATTCAGGCCGGGTTGGCGCAGGTGAAACGGGTGGAGGCGCCTCCACGCGACATCCGCCAGACTGAAGACAGCTTGTGAAAGAAAGGGGAGTTTACTTGCGACACTGCGTCTCATGTTGGCCAGGAAATCCAAGTAAAAGTAAGTAAAATCAACTGCAGTCGTTTGCTTTGGTGTTGGTTCTCGTGCACGGTCGGTCGTGTTTCGTAAGTAAAACCAACTGCAGTTGTTTGCTTTGGTGAAGTGTCTCGTTCACGGACGTGTTTGAGCTTCGGGGTCCTTCGCAGTCACTTGCCAGTCGGATCTTTTGGTTGAGCCTAATGTAGTTGCACACTTCACTCGTCTAGTTCGAGTTGTGTCCGAGTGACTAGGTTGATCGAGTGTGACTTAAGCTTGACTGACTGATTTGATTTGAACTGAACCGCATGAACGGAGCGAACGGGCTCAAAGGTCGAGCTCGAACAGTCATGGGCTCGATGTTTTCGCGCGGTGCTGACCGCGGGAGAGGAACGTGGTTCCCACCTTTTGCTTTGAGCATATACCTCCGAACGGGGTGGCTCTCATTGCCAATTCGACTGGAGGTGTCCAGACTGTGACCCTGAATGGTGGAAGTGGGGAACAGCTGCTGGGAGCAGCGTTGAGGCAGGTGAGCTCCGAGGTTGGAAGCCATCCAAACCCGACTACTCCTGAAGAAGCCCTGGTGCCGCTGGAAGAGGTGGCATCTGGCTCAGCCGACCCGGTTGTCCTCGCCAGCTCAAATCAGCCTCAACGAAGGCGACCTGGGGCACCTGTCACTCCCAGTGCCACACCGGCTCAAAAGCGTTGGAGAGGAAGTGCTTCTGATGCCATCGCCATCGCCTGCTCTGACAAAGCCACGCAAACCGCCATGGAGACGTTCCAGGAGGTGGTGTACGCACCCGGCACCACCCGCACCAAGAGTGCACTGTTTAAGCTGTGGACGGACATCCTGAATGCCCGGGGTCTCGCACCACTGCCAGTTGACCCCAACAAACTCAACATCGTGAGCTCGGTGCTGAGGGCTGCGGGCTTCAGATCGGCCCCGACATACCTCTATGAGGCCAAGGACTGCCACGTGAGAGCGGGCTACGCTTGGTCAGACGCGCTCGACGTGGCACTACGTGATTGTCGGAGGGGCCTCACCAGGGGTATGGGCCCGCCCTGCAGGGCCTTGGAGATCGAGCCCACATTATGGGCACGTTTGCCGGAGCATCCGGAGACTTCGTGTGGGACTTGGCCGGCCGTGAGAAAGTATGTGTGGATCTTAGGCACGTGCTTCTGCCTCCGCGAGGTGGAGTTGGGCTGCATCATGTTCAATGAAAATGGAACTCCCTGGTCGCAATAAACCTGACGGTCTCCAAGACGGATCAGTACGCTCGTGGATGCAAGCGCACGCTCGGCTGCCGCTGCAACACCAGGGAGTCGGTCGTGTGCCCGTACTGCATTGCTTGCGTGCTGGTGAACCATCAAGAAGTGATGTTGGGAGTGGAGCACGGCTCCGAGGATGCGGCCAACTATCCCCTGGTGGGTCAGGAAGGTGATCCAGCGAAGGTCGTATCGAAAGAAGCCATGCTAGCGGCTCTGCGAGAGGATGCTGGCTACCTCAAGGACAAAGGCTGGCTCAAGGAATCGGATGATCTGAGCTTGGTCTCTGGCCATAGTCTCAGAAGGTCAGGTGTGAAGCATTGGGTGAAGGCGGGAGTGCCCGAAGAGCTCATCATGTTCCTCACGAGGCACTCCAGCTCGGCGGTTAAGTCCTACATCGAGGACGCCAGGGAATCCTGGGTGGTGGTGTGCAACCAGATCGCCGAGCAGTTGAGAGCTTGCAAGATCGCATCGCCGGGCTGGCGGCCAAGGTGAACACGCTTGAGGAATTGATGGCAAAGATCTCCGAAGAGCAGAAAGCGCAGAAGGCCATGGCACACTTCGATGAGGACTCGGTGAAGTCCTTGCTTCGTGCCTACCTGAGGCCACCGGTGGTGACGAATCTTGCCACCCTGAAGTTTCATGCCGCTTCAGTGTCAAACAGCCAGTTGGCGCCGAGCCGCTGGCAAACAGCGTGCGGTTGGTGCTATGTGGCAGCAGGACAACTGGTGAAGCCAGCGGCGTCCTCTGAAGAGATTCCGCCGGAAGCCACTCCATGCACTAAGTGCATGAACTACCTGCCGTACTGGGCAGCAGTATAGGACACCCACCGAATACGGCTCGGAAGCAAAAGGAGAGTTCTTGTGCGTCCTAAGTGTTTGAACAAGTCTGTTTTTAAAGAAACAAGGTAGGCATTTAAGTTGGCCTCGACAAGTTCAGCGTGCTCGAAACGTTCAGCCAGTAAGTTTGGCCTAGAGCACGTTATCGAGGCCAGAAGGACGCGCTTCCGACGAACTTTCGATAAACGGGAGCCCAGCGGCGAGTCGAGTCGAAGTGTTGTAAAGGCTTAAAGGTTTGGAGGCGGGTAGTAGGGGAGTGCAGACGACTGTGCGGTTTTTTATGGAGCAAAGATTTTGCGTAAGAAAAAGAATAGCACTAAGAGTCTGCTTGGTGGTTTGTTGAATCGTTCGTTTCGATGCTCGTTGAACTCGTGCCATTTTGGCCTCAAGAGTCACACGAAAATGTATCTCCCTCCACCAACCCCTGACGCCTCCAGAGCGATAAGTTCTTCATGATAAGTTCGAGAGTTCTTGTGCGTCCTAAGTGTTTGAACAAGTCTGTTTTTAAAGAAACAAGGTAGGCATTTTAGTTGGCCTCGACAAGTTCAGCGTGCTCGAAACGTGCAGCCAAAAAGTTTGGCCTAGAGCACGTTATCGAGGCCAGAAGGACGCGCTTCCGACGAACTTTCGATAAACGGGAGCCCAGCGGCGAGTCGAGTCGAAGTGTTGTAAAGGCTTAAAGGTTTGGAGGCGGGTAGTAGGGGAGTGCAGACGACTGTGCGGTTTTTTGTAGGAAAGAGGCTTACCCGGCTTACCCATAATTTGTGTTCTAGGGTGGACAGTGGTTCTGAGGAAACGGAGGGTTCGGGAATCTGACGTACATTCAATTTTGACCCATTTGATGCCTGGTACAGCAGTTTGACTTTGTGTATTGTAAGGAGGAAGAGGCTGATTTCATGAAGGCATTCGAGGGATGTCACACGCTCAAACATGGAAAACACATCAACAGCACCATCGGATCAATTGGTCCCTGGTCTCAGAAGAGAAAAACGAAGAAACGACACGACACATCGCCGTTTCACCTAGGGAGGTGGGTTCCTCCTACTTTCAACGCCCCGAGCTGGAGCCACCGCAATTTGGAAAACGTAGCAATTGTCAGTTGAGCATGAGGACGAACGGGCGCCGCCTCGTATTGGAACGCGGATGTTGGATTGTTTCAGAACGAGGACGTAGGATCAATTGGGAACTCGCACGCGCATGGTGTTCTACTTTGCTTCTTTGTGCGATTCTCCTTGGCGGATCAAATGTGAAAGAACGGAAGGCTTGACAGGTTTCCACTGCTTTCTGCGCTTGTTTTCTGATGTTTTCCAGCCAACGATAGCCAAAGCCTTTCCAGCCGCGTGCACGCTTACTGTAATCTGTTGTTCCAAATAGATCCACCCTCTCTTTCCAAGCCACACTGTGTTACTTGACCCAGCATTGTTCTCCTATGGTGCGAATGCCGCAGGTCTGTCGCCAACCCCACCCTCCCCCCACCAGCCCCTACAGTAGAGAGTCGTTCCATAGTTGAATCCTGGCAATACGGCCGTATCATAGGTAAACCGCCCTTGTTTCTTCTACACACCGGCTTTTCTTTTTGCATTAAAGGCTGTATCAAAGCTTTACAGAAGGCAAATTTGCCCAAACAAGGGCGCAAGTCGAGTTTTCTGTTTTTTTGCGACCGCATAAGGCAATAACAGTCGAATTTTCACCTTCTACCACAGATTGTGTAAAGCAACGGCGGCGGCGGAACTTGGAATGTGAGCAAGCAGTCCTGGCAAAACTCGTGCACTATGTCCTTTTTGGATGGGGAATTTGTTTTGTCACCTGCTCGTTTCGAGCCAGCTTTAGAAAACATTTGCAGCACGTTGTTTGTATGTTCGGGAAATGAACACGCGCACTGCTGGACATGTGCCCCCCCGCACCCACACCCACACGTAGACCAAACTTTGGTCAAATGATCAGATTTTAACCTGATTATAGGCTTTTGGTGTTGGTGAAACATGGAAACAAAGCTGCAAGGGCTTTGCCATATCATCAGTCCCACCAAGTCGACAAAATTTGTTGGACTTACCAATGATTCGCCCCTCTGTTTTTTTGGGCGCGCAAACCCAGCACATCTCGAGAACCGACTTGGGAACACAGAAACAACGCAATTGGTTTACAAACGGCATTTTCCTTGGTCCGTTTTTTGTTCCTGATATAGAAACGAGCGTTCGGAGATCGGGTCGAGCAGACGAGTACCAAATTCAGTGGCGCGTAGGCCGCGTATGTGAATACCGTTGAGTTTGGTGATTCTCTTCTGATCTGGGGGGTTTTACCCATGTTTGCTGGGGATTTATTTATGTTTCGCCCGTCTGACTCTGCCAAGAGCATTGTTTGCGCATGATTGTCTCTGTCCTGTGAACTGGCCTTTCGATCACATCAAAATGATCTCTAAAGGCAGCGAGACACCAAAAAGATGGTCACGCACAGCACCAGGGACCATCGTATCACAATTCAAAATTTGTAAATGAAAATTCAACCAAAGACGATTCGTTCAAAACCACCGGAAAAAAGAGAACACACACACACAAAAAACACAAACAAAACCGAGTCTTCTTTGTTTTCGCATTGCGTAGCAGAACTTCAGGCCTGGGGGATCCAGGCCCGATTCGAGGGATTTAGACCATAGCATCTATAACTATTGTTTTACGCGTGATACGATTCTTTGGTGGTAACCAAATCGATCAACCAAAACGTTTCTGCAAGCCACGGTTGGGCGGTGGGAATGGTGCAAGTTCCAAAATGAGTCTGTTTTGGAAAAGGATGCAATTTGTGTTTCTAAACGATCCGTCTCATGTGTTCAATGAGCCGCGTGCCCTCAGAGATTCTGGTGCTATTTTCCAGGCTGAGATTGATAGCACTCCGCCAGGTTTACTTTCCAGCCAGGCTGCGGCTCAAAGAGCGTGACTCCAAAAACCATCCACAGCAGGGGGCACCGGCGCCCTCGGTTCACCGCGAAATCCACCGGCACGGCTTTTTCGCTGAAAACAAATCCGAGAAGATTCCGATTGGAACCGGCAAATCGAATATAGATGGAATGTGACCAGGTGTTCGTTTTTTTGGGTTGCATTTTGATACGTCGTGATACTCGGTCTTTGGCCTTGCAAACATGGTTTTCGGACGTCTCTTTACATCATGGGCTAGCACAGGAGCCCAGCTTCCAAGAGGTTTCGCTGAAGAAGGCAACCTGTGCGGTCGACATTTGTGAAGAATGGGACGAGTTCGGAGGATTTCTTCAGATCAACAGATGTAAATCCAGTGCAAATGCATTAAAGTTATATAGATGCCTCAATGCCAAACTGCAAGAACACATCCAAACCACTGCATGAAAACGCCTTCAAAGGTTTCCAATGGTTCAAACATAGACAAATACAACACACAGGGTCGCGTTGAAGGGCCTTACTTACTTTCCTTTCATGTTTCATGTTTTTGTGGGAACATGGGCCCATCGAGCTCTGATTCAATCACATGACGTGTTTCCATGCTGCTGTCAATGTTATGCGCATGATATCCACATTGCTTTAGTAGGTGCCCAGAATCAATCGAGGCAACACTTTTGGACCGGCCCGGACAACCCTAGCATTTGGTGCATGATGGGATACCCATCAGCTCAAACCACTGGCGCTTTGAAACAAGCGCACGAAGACCCAACCTCCCCCGATCGTTGTTTGCATCCAACACCATCGTAAGGACATCAAACCAGGACCTGACCATTTAGGCCCACCACACGCTTGTACCCAATTGAAGCATAATAAAATATGTTCATGTATTATATATATATATTTATCATATGCGCAGTAAGTGTGTCTCTGTGCTTGCCTCAAGATGTTGACGGGTCTTGTCTCATGCAAGGCACGCAAAAGTAGCATCTCTGCACTCGCTCCATAGTCGATTTCATGTACCTGTGGTTTTCGTTCTTTTGTGTTGCTTTTGTTTCCCCCCAAAGGTTGCTGCTTTTGAGCTCCCCTTGTGCAGGTGCAAACTGCATTACAGCTTCTCCGGGCTGAGCCAGAACCCAGCGAGGGGTGCTCCTCCGCTGGTCCTGGAGATGCTTGGTGGGAAGACTGTTGCAGCAACGGAGGAGGCGGTGAAACATCTCTTCATATGAGGTCTCGCCACCGTGAGAATTGGAAGAACCCAATCTGCTTGCAGACAGCAGCCAAAAGGAAGAACACATGATTTTCCAAAATGAATAAATTAGGAAATAATTCAAAAAAGAAAATCCGAACTCTTTCTGAAATTCTGGAGTCTCCCAACAGGTGAGACCAAGCGGATCGGTTTTGTGATAAGCTCAGCATCCTGTGAATGTGGCTTCATGTTTGGGAAGATGTGGATTCATCGGATTTGTTATTTTTGTTTGAACATGTTTGAACTACGGGTTGCGTCAAACCCAGTAGACTGAAATCGAATCTGGGCATTTGCAGCTGCCCTGTTCCACAGACCCCTACACGGTCACGTAGACTCACAGCTGGAAATGTTTTGGTTTTGGAGTTGAATGAGTTGCATCAGTTTCTACTTTTAACCCTTATTGGCAGGTGATACATGTTTGATCACAGTTGGTAGGAATCTGTTTCCGTCGCCAAGGAGGCACTGAGCGCGTCCACATGCTGTTCGTGTTGTTGGCAGAAATCCTGCACAACTGTAAATCTTGTCGGGTTTTAGCAAAGAGTTCTCCTAGGTCGTTTGGCATTTATTTGAGATGTTCTATCTCTACTTGGGCATGGTTCTCCAAATTAGACTATTATATATCTTAGCCGCCAGAAAGGCACTGCCAATGGAACTCTCGAGTCACCTAACCTGAAAATCACGGACCCGGCGAGTCACCACCCAGGAGAACCTCTGGACGGCCGCCAGCGACGGCGATCAAGCGCGGGTGGAGGCGCTCATGGCGCTGGAGGGCTTCCAGCCTAGCTCGCAGGAGCCGCGCCGTTCGCCGCCGGACGAACCGCCGTGGAGCGTCAGATCCGCAGGTCGGGTCCCAGGCCGCGTAGTGGTCGGCTGGCCGCGTGCCGGTCAGCGGGTTTCGGCTGGGCCTCTCTGCGGGTCGCTGCGCGTCCTTGTTTCGGGAGCCTGTGGTCTCTGCGGGTCGCCAGGATGAGAACGGCTACACGCCTGTCATGGCAGCCGCCTCCTGGGGCCATGCCACTTGGCACCCAAGAGACCGGGCCTCAGTAGCTATCGGTAGAAATTTGAGGATTTGGTGATTCTGGTGGGGCTTCATCCTCATTAGCCTTCACTGTCCAAGACTTTCTTGTATAGCTAAAGCATGCTGCATGCTAAAGCAGTTTTCAGGAGGCTCCTATATCATGTTCCGATGCACACCATCCCCACCCGCCGCATTCTCGCTTGAGCAGGGTTTCCATCAACCCTGATGTCACTGATGTCTGACAGTGATGTGATTGATTGAAACAGTTGGGGCAGATCATGTGGTGGTATGTAGCTCATGGCATGTTGCCAATTGGCAACCACGGCAGCAAACCCACCCGAATGATACCACATGCATTTGTTTCAGAGTCCTGCACATGCCATGGGTATGTTTGGCCTATCGGATAGCATCCATGGAAACTGGCCAATAATTTGTGAATGCTTGGCACATAGTCTGATGATGCCCGCGTGCTTGCATTGGCCTGTCGTGGACATCCACACGTACAGCAGAAGATGCTGTGGGGTTCAAGCATCATCAAGCATCTATATAATTTGGATGCACAAGTGATCTACTTCAACATCCAAAGCTAAAGCATGGGGGCATGAACCTAAATGCCAGGCAATTGTATGACATCCCCCGCTTTAAGGGTTCAAACTGGTTAGAGCATGCCGGGCCACAGGACATGGGTCATGCCCGCCATTGGTTTCGGATTGGGATGAAGAAGTTTGCCGATGTGTGTCAACAGGAGACCCCAGTATAATGATATCTATTGAACATCTATTGAACAGTATCCAACAGTATATGTGTACACACGTATTTGCTGTATATATATATATACATAACACTATCGTCCCATGATTGCCATATGCTGCAGGTGATGATTTCAGGAGACCCAAGGGCTTCCATATTCCGCTCACCTCGGAAGCAGCGACAACCCCATTTTGTGAACGCAGCACCGGTTGAGATCAACGCTACACTGATTGCAAAGGTCACATGAATCACACACATGAAGATGCATGCAAACAGATGCACACATGCATCAACGTAGGGGGCAGGCATGCATCCATCCTATCCAACCAACCAGTCATGAGATGTCTAGATGGCCCATGGGTGTCCACGCACATGTGCAAGCCTTCTTGAAACTTCTATTGACCCATGGATCCCACTGTGTTTGTGGCGGCGTCAGGCTGAGCTCCTGTCGCTGCTTCTGTCACGGGAGCCTCACAGTGCCAACGTCGCTGACACCGATGGCGATGCTCCATTGCACCATGTGGCGCAAGCCTGTGAACTGGAGGCGTGAAGATGGGCTGTTGAGGCTGTTGCGGTGAGACATGATGGTGTTGGTCAGAGAGTGATGAGTGATGGCACTGACACTGTGACAGGTGGGAGAGGTGTTCACCACCCGTCACCCAGGCTGACCAGCTCCGGCCGGTGCTCCGGCTCTTGTTGGAGGCCAAGGCGGACGTCAACGCCAGGAGTGGGGGGAAGAGCGGGTTGAGAGGCAGTTTGTAGAGGAAAATAAGGGCTGAGGGTGTTGAGTCTTGAAGCTTTGAGGTCTTTTGATGGGTCTTTTTGGTCCCTTGGTGTTTCCTTGGAAGTTGCATGAAGTTGCAAGCATGTGCTAGCAGGTGGGTTGAGAAGTTGAAAAGGGTTTTAGACGTCACACGAGACGTGACAGAGCCTTCAGGGGATTATAAAGGGAAAGAAAGAGGTTGAGATGTGGAGGTTGAGATTGGCTGGTCTGCTTCATTTTGTTTGGGGGTTTTGTGGAAGGTGCACTCTGAGGGCACCTGCCCTTTTGAAGCAGGAGCTCCCATTCAATCTGGGTATTTCTCGACTTTCACAAGTGGCTCAACCACATAGAGAGATGAGCTGCGTTTTCGATGCACTCTTTTAGAATCAACAGTATGTCGGAGCAAGCGGCTTGTTCTTGGGTGTTTCAGCACGACTAGTAGTGATGAGAAGCTGAAACCGTCCGAAGTCACACCTTGGGCATCGTTCTTCTTTGTCCCTTTGGTTCGCCTCCACTCCGAATAGCGATGGCCTCCAACCGAATAGCGATGGCCTTGCCAGGAATGCAGAGGGAAAGAGCTGCTTGGACTGTTGTGCCATGGGCGCCATGGTTGAGGGCGAGGAGCAACGGAGACAGAGAGGGGAGGTTCCGAGGTCAGTGGACATCCCAAAGGAGCTATGAAGACAAGTACATAGCTGAACTGCTGGCCCGAGTCGAAGGTGAAAGGTCACAGATATGTTGATCTATTCCATGATGTGTCGGATAAACTGTCGAGCTTGGAGACCGAAGTTCGGACCGTGTTGCGTTAGGCAGCAACACGACTTTTCTCTAGGGCATGTGCTTGACAAATCAAGGTGTGATTGTAAAGTTGGCTTTCCTTTCAAGCCTAAAGCTACCTTGATGTCAGATATCAAATCCCACCTGCAGGGTTCTATCTTTTTTTGAAGAAAAACAATATCCACAACTATGAGTCTACGAGTATGTTCTTTCCATGCGAAGGTACTTCGATTCAAGAACACTGTTGGTAAGCAAAACTATCAGGTGCGCATTCTCATGGTAGTCCTTGGTTAGAAGCATGTATGTTTGTGGCCAGGAGGAACAAGAGCCTCAGATCAATTTGGCCTTCCTGAAGGTGATGGAGGAGTTTGGCTTCAAAGTCTGAGTGCTGGATGAACGACCAGGGACCAAAGTCTTCCCGTTCGAAGGGACCAGCTCTCAGCAAGACATGCTGGGGCTACCATCGCCAAGCCACGTGAACGATGTCACCCACGAAGCGGCCAATTGACGAAGCAAACAAAAGCACTTCGCCGGCGAACTGTCCACGGCGGGGGTTGAGGGACACGCTAATGCTAACAGTGCAGTTTTGCGTCAGCAGTTTGCAAGAGCGTTGTGTCGTTGGGCTGTTTCTTCCTGCCTTTCAGAAGACACGGAACACCTGTTTTTGCCAGCAGCGTTTGTGTCTGAAAGGGAGTCCCAACAAACTCTGTCGATCCACAATCATCCATAATCCATGAACAAGAGGTTTGGGATGTCCTGTCATGTTACCCCAAGTGCCACGAGTACAACTTCGTACCTCTTTAGGGTCCCCAATTCCAGGCTGGTTGTTGTTTCTCAATCTCCAGCTGTGCATTGCCTGTGGGTCAAAGAGGAACAACATGGTCAAGGACACACACATGGAAACTGAGTGTCCTATTGACACGAAAGCTGCTTTCATACTGCCAGGGAGAGATGCTGATTACCCTCCGGCTCACTAACACGGAAGTGATCTCCTTGGCCTGCCGGGAAGACATTTTCCTCTACAAACCGGCTATAACCGGCTGGTGGCTGGTGTCCACTTCCATGTTAGTGAGTTGGAGTGTACGCCATGGGTCAGGAATCTTCCAATAACACTGGTCCAAGGTGCTCCACGCTCTCCACTCCAAAAAGCGCCGCCGCCGTTTGTTGCAAAGCCGAGCAGAAACATCATGGGTTCCGCATGGTTACGCACGTGGGGAAAACCCGCAGGATGACTGGCATCACTTTTGGCCAAAGAGGCATTTGATTCTGTAAAAAGATATCTGCCATAGACTAGAAGTCGAAATGACTAAGTCTTTGCATCTTCATCCCGCAAGGTCTGTGTAGCCATTGTTATCCATGTTTTTGGACTAAGTCTATTATGTTTGGCCGCAAGTGGCGTGGGACCTGTGCGAGCTTGGAGCCAACAAAATCACGCACTGAGTACATCAAATGGACCCAGATAGTTTGTTGTTGGTCAATTATTGACACAGATTGAAAAGAAGAAAGCACCTGCTATATATTCTCTTTCAGACATGGCAGAAGAAAGTGAAGGCTGTCTAGGACTAGGATCCGACAGCCTGCTTTTGGGCTTGAAATCAGAACCTCGAGCACTGTATCCGACCTCGTTTGCTCCGGACGCCATGAAGGTGGGCGGACCGGTCCAAGTCATGGGTCCTGAGGTCGCATGTCCATGCGCTACGACTCGGAAACATCGGAGAGTTCTTCCATGGTTTTTTTGGCAGTTTGTTCCATCGGACATGAAGAGCCCAACGTGTTGGCCTTCAGGCCTTGACCTGCGGTCCCCTGCCACATTTCGTCGAAGGGTCCTTGGGGTTTGGACCAGTTTTGGTTGCAGTTCTTCGTCCAGTTTGGTGGACACCCATCTTTTGCATGCAGATTTGAGGGAGGCAGCGCCGTTTCCCATGCTGGGGCGATCAGATTGAACCCCATGATCGCAACAAAAATACTTGTTTTTCTTGACACGGGTATTCCAAAGAGGAAGTTTTCCACATAGCTGGACGGCTTGTCTGTCTGTTTCTTCATTGAAGAACATGTACATCGTCCTGAACGGGCGTAGAAACAACGGGTTGTGGAGGATCCAATCATCTTCCAACGATCCAATTTCAGCTTCCATGTCATCCTCCCGGGTGTAATTGCCTTGCGAAATCGTTGGGTACATCAGTTGTGCCATGTGAGAAGCCACGCAGACCGATCCTGACGATCTTCGGATTCTTTGGATCGGTCTGCAGACCGATCCTGACGGCCTCAACCTTCCCACTCACTCGGCGCGGCACGGGCGCGCTTGCGAGGTGTTCTCTTCTCTCGGCTCCCAACCGATCCAACGGAACTCACCATCTATTTGGACACCCTCCTTGACTCCAGCCGAGGCAGACTCCAGCCGAGGCTCCCAGACGACTCCCTTCGGTTTTAAACCATGTTTTGGACGTCCGGTGACCAACTCTGTCCATTTGGCCAGACCAAACAGTTCTCCTGTCCTTCCCCCATGTGTTCGTTCTATCCTTCGCCTCAGGGGGTCAGCAATGAGGCCACAAACACGGACAAGATGCAAGCGTGACTGGGCAAGCAGGACATTTAGATGTGCATGAAACGAGACCCTGCATTTTTCGGGTGTTTGGGATTGTAGGAGTTGGGGGTAGCAATTGTGAGGCCTCAAGAAAACCTCCCTTTCATGGTCCTTCCAAAGCTTTTTAGACCTCCCAGTTCAATACTCTTGAGTTTCTCCACCTGCCTGGCTGTCGGTTTTCGGCGAGGGTGAGAGTATCCCCGTGCCTTTGGGATCAGAAGACCGTGCCTCTGCCGGGATCAGAAGATAACCCCTCGGACGAGCGATCAGATCGATAGAAGCAGATGGCTTTAGGCTTTAGATCTTAAAGGCCACTGAACTTGTGAGGGTTTTAGGGCTTCCTATTCGGACCATCCGCTCAGATCCGTGTTGGCTTTTCTCTTGTTCTAGTCTGCGAGTCGACTCAGGCACCAAATGAAAGTCAAGCCCAGCGACGCCTTGAGACATGAGGAGCTGAACACGCGCGTTGTGCCGGCGAAAGTGGACGTTGCATGTGAAGCGGTATTTGGAATCAACATAGTCTGCTGAGGTTTGGTGGAAAGAGGGATGGTTTCGAAGGGTCCTTCCCAACTTTCTTGATGCAAAGGACATTGGTCGGATACGGAGTGGACGGACTTCCCTGACATTGACAAGTACGGACTGAGCATCTCCCAGTCCGACAACTCCTGTTTGTGGCCAAAGATGGAGCCCATTGAACCCAATGATGCCATCACTTGCTTTTGGGGGACCCTCTAGCCGTCTAGCAGGATGACAAGTGGATTAGAATATACTGTGGCCCCTTTGGTGGGTGTATATTTTCAAGGCTCCTAGACGCTCCCACTTGAGCGGTATATTAAGACCGGAGGGTACTGAACTAAAGGCCGTCGCACATTCATGGTCTGCTTCAGAGAGGGGTGAGTGAGGAGTGAGTAAGTACTGGTAGCTTCAATCGTTTGAACCAACTCGGTGGCAGCAAGGCTGGTTTGATTTTAACACCATGTATCCGTAAAATGTGGCAACCATTGATTCTGTACAAGTATTTCCCTGAGGCTCTGCCCAAAAAACTGGCGGTGTGACTCCATTGTTGAAGCTGCACGTTCGCGGAGAAGGCACACCCAAAGGACACATGTCCATGTCTTCGTTCTTTCGTTCTTTTTAGACCCGAACCATGCCTCCGAGCGACGCCAAAGAGACGTGGCGAGCTCCCCGAAGCCTTCAAGCCAAGCGTGTTTAGCTTATGAAAACGTTATGTGGCAACACTGACACCCAGTGAGTTGCTGTAGTACGCCAGAGTCGCCAGAGTGCAACCAATCCACCAGCATGGACCATGGCAATCAAACTGAATCTCTCGGTCTCCATGTGGGCACAGGGAGGGCCCAAGCGCCATCGGCTCACAGACATGACATCTGACATCATGCATCTATGTCTCTGCTGTGGTGAGGAAGTCTATCCTAGCATCATTTGCCCACAACAATATGAGTCTCCGCCCCGGCCACGCAACATCAGCACATGCTTGCTTTGCTTGCTTTGCTTGCTTCGTGATGTGTGTGATTCACCATCTCTTTAGCGTCTCATCACAGCCAAGCTCCAGAAGCCCTGAATGAAGGTGAAGCACCAAGGTGAAGGGCGGTTAGCGCTGAGCTGAGGTGGTCCTTCCAGGGCTTGAGTGACCACGCTTTGCGTGCGAAGCCTGCCGCTAGTCAAGGGGAGTGTATACATGTAAAACCCATGGTATGAAGACCCGGAAGCTCTTTATCTTGTGACTTCACCGCCGTCCTCGCGACAAAAATGGATTCGCCTCAACTCACAGGACGTGGACCTCATGGTGTGCACCGATCTGGTCGACCAGGTGCCTTTTTTAGAGTCCGGGTCCGCGTCCAAGGTCCAGAGATGAAAGTTGTGACATGGGTTTCATTTGGTTTCATCTGGTTTTAATCTTCATGAGGGGCTCAAGGGGCTCAAGTGCTTCATGTCCCAGTCCCGAAAGACTGCCAAACATGCCTCCAAACACCACAAACACCCGACCAGAACACTCCTGCGATGCTTCAGCATGCTCATCATGCTTGGTCGTTCCTGCGGGACGGCTGCCGCGGGACGGCTGCCCCCGCGGTGAGGCTCAAACCTGCGTGCTGAACGGGAGCTTGTCGCACGCCTCCGTCCTGGAGGTGGCAGGGAAATCGCCACGAGATCGCCATTGGACCTGGAATTCAATCATTTCCCCATGATCTCCCTGGGCTGGGAACTTCATCCGAAACTCATGAAGGTTTCAGATGGTTTTGCCAAACAACCACACCTTCTATTGCTAGCCATAACTCTCACGACATGACGGGCGCCCTTCTTTCCACCTCTTTTTTGGGGATTCGGTTCTCGAAACCCATCGAACATCCCTGGTGTGTTCAAAAGAAAAACACCATTGGCCACTTCGGGTACCAGCTGTTCTCGCTACGCGACGGCCGGACGCCGGAGCGACGTCGGAGCGAAGGACGGAGCGGACGGAGCGGACGGAGCGGACGGAGCGGACGAAACCGGGAACCGACTTCGTGAAGATGGCACTACGTATAGTACTTGTAATATCTTGTAATCCTTGTTGTGCCGTTTTTGTACTGGTATTTTTTCAAAGGGAAGGATCCAGGTGGACAAAAGTCTCCCAGATATTCCCCCTTAGAAACCTGTGTAGAAAATTATCAGGCTATCCATTGAGAGAGCCTGCTTCAGACAAGCATCCTGCAGCATCCAATAATTTTGGGCTTTCGGAAACCTTTGAGGCACAAGCATGCCTGCAAAAACATCTCAATCGTTTGGGGTGACGGGTACTTCTTTAGCAAGTTGATTCAATCTTTGTCCATTTGCTCGTTTCATCTTGTTTCTAATTCGGGAATCAGATGGGATCAGGCTCCCAAGAGAGTTGGTCACTTGACCGTAAAACCTGATTCTCATCCGAACGGATGGTCCAAA